ATTCAATGCATTTTTTCACATAATTTAAAAAATTTTATATTTTACAGATAATCTACTCATCATACCTATTTCAATAAAAGTCTAAAGGCAACTAATCTTTAGGGTTCTTTCTCCAATATTCATTTTAGTTTTCATAAAACTAACCCCCTTCAGAACTCTCATTCTTTGCCATATTAAAGTAATGAGATCATTGCATTAGAAGATTTGGCCATAAGGGCCCTCCCTGGTGGTGAAATGCAGCACTACAGAGCTGGCCACAGCTGCTTCAGCACGAATTCCATCTCCTGGCCAGGGAGGTGACCCCCATGGCGCAGCAGACCTCTCCTGTCTTGCCCGCTGCTCCCCTCAGCAGTGTACTTGTCCATCTGCCTGTTCTGCTCCCCACTCTGTCTCTGGTGAATTCTCTCACCGCCCCTGCACCTCTGGCCTATACCCCAGTTCTGTATGAAGAAATAAATACATCTTTTTAAAAAATTGACAAGCACAACTCACCTAAGTGAAAACACAACAGGCAGGGAGGGGCAGCTAGCAGCACCTGCTGGCTGAGGCTTCACCAGGCCGTGGGCATCAGACTGCAGGTCTCCAGACCAAAGGGGAACTGTGGCCAATCAGTGGAGGTTGGATCAGAGAGCTACTACTAAACTCTTCTTCAATTTTGGGGTCCCCGAAATTGAGTCTCACATGATTATTAGTGGGCTCATATGCCTGTTGGATATTGCCACAGGCGCTTGGTAAAACTGCAGGTCCTGGAATGCCAAGCTCTGAGCTAGCTGCCTCTGATTCAGGGTTATCGGAGGGTTTAGAAGACCTTTAGGTCTTGGGCCCTCCCTGGTAGCGCAGCGGGTTAAAGCACAGCACTGAGAAGCTAAAGACACTTCCACATGAGTTCAATCCCCGCCTGCCCCGGAGGTGACCACATGGCGCGGCGGACCTCTCCTGCCCGCCCGCTGCTCCCCTCAGCAGCGTACTTCGTCGATCGGCCTGTTCTGCTCCCTGCTCTGTCTCTGGTGAATCCTCTCTCACCCTCTGCATCTCTGCTGTGTCCTAGTTCTATATGAATAAATAAAAATCTTAAAAAAAAATGAAGAAGAGAAATATTTTTTAAAAAAAAAAAAAAAGACCTTTAGGTCTTTTGGTCAGTTAGCTCTTTATGTATTGGCTCCAAATCACTCACAATTTGAATTTAGTTTATTAGTCTGTAGGTTGGCACTTGGCTGGGCTCAGCTGGGTGGTTCTTCTAGATTTCCATAAACTTGGTCATGTGTGAGTTCTGCCAGTCAGCTGCGTTGCTCTGCTTCTGGGAATCAGGCAGCTGTTGACTGGGGAGATGGAGGTCACTGGGCCATTGATCTGTCATCCTCCAGCAGAGGAGTCTGGGCTGGACAGGATTCCGGCACAGAGAGTGGGAGCAGCCACGGTCTCCTTAGGCCTAAGCTCAGAGTTGACACTATGTCATTTTCATCACAGCCTATTAGCCAAATCAAGTCACAGTGCTGATCCAGATTAAGGAGTTTCCACCTCCTTTCAAAATCATATTTCAAAGAGATGAGGACACAGGTAGAGAAATAAATACGTGCAACTTTGCAAACAATATACCTTGTTCGTTTTACAAATGAAGAAACTGAAGCTCAAACAGGTTAAGCTGACTAATCTTTCCAGCATCTTCCAGCTAATAAGTAACAGGGTTGGAACCACAGCTACCTGTGCGGCTTGAACACCTACCCTTCCCACCAGGTTTAGCTGCTTTGTTAAGAAATTAAAAGACCTGCAGCAAATGGGATCATTTTAATTCTTAATTAGCAATAGTTGAGCATCATGCTCTAGGTAGAAACAATCATCCCCATTTTATAGATAACAAGAAGCTCAGAAAAATGGTTTCTTGCCAATGGATCCTCTCACAAGCCATACTCTCTGGGCTTCAGCTAGTAAAGTGAAAGGATTCCACTCAGTGATCTGTGAAATCCTTCCCGTGTTAAAGCTCAGTTGTTCCTTTTGTTTATTTTCCTCCCTCCTGTCCTGTACTATTTGCAGGCTCCATAACTATTTGCTAAATCAGATGGTTTTCTATATTTGAAATCCTTTTCTCCAGGGGAACCAAAAAAAGCATTTTAATACCTTTGAAATCCAGAGTGGCTACTCAGAATATTTAAACAAACTCCCAGCAAGTCAAATAGCAATGGCAATAACAATGGTGACGTTTCATCAGGAGGCTGGGGCACCCGGGAGCTCCACTCCTCAGCCTCCTAGAAGCCACCCCCAACACCCTGCGCTGTGAACTCTTGACAGTCTGCTGGCTGCAGAGATCCCATCTATTTGCAGGTTTATCTCCAGACTGTCTCAACCGATCTACTCTGCTGGCTCTGTCACTGCTGTTCTCAAAAGAGATGATCTTGATTTTCACAGGGGCCTGTGAATGCCTTTTCTTAGAAAGTTGTCATATACCGCCTAGATCCCACTCACCCAGAAGCAAAGGTTGCAAAGGTGGATGCAACAAAGGTGAGCCAGAGTCCTTTTCGACTTAACTGAGCTCCAGGTCTCCTGAGGTCGATCCTAGCTCTGCTCTGGGTTTGCTCTATGTGAGGGGGGTGAATAACAGGCTGCTCTTCTTGGGCTGGGGGGTTCCTGTTGCTGATCAAAAGGAAGGTCACCACAGCTGCTGTCACCCCAGTAACCATAGTAACAATAGACCACATGACAGGTGTCTGAGCTGTGGTTCTCATCCTTCCCCTCACCCCCCCCCACCAAGCCCCTGCACCCTGATCTTGTTAAACAGGATTGAGGGTCTCCCAGGGGAGCAGCTCAGGCATGCGAGACCAGACTCACAGCATTAGTTAAACCGCTATTTCCCAGAACATTTTGCATTGCCAGACCCAGGAGCCAAGGAAATCTCCCAGGGACGTTTTTATGAGAGAGAATGCTAAGATGAGATGCTTTGGCTTGGCTTTAGACAGCAAATGGGGCTCAGTAGGAAAATGTGCCTGACATATAGCAGGCACAAAATAAATACCTGTGAAAGAGTCAATTTAGTTAGGCGGAGTTTATATAGCAAACAGGATTCCTTTCAAGACACTGGAAGTTCTGCATAAGGAGATCATGTCAATTATTGACCATTTCAGCAATTACAGGGTCTGCTGTATTGCTGTATGCACCCCTGGGGGTAATGGGTGGGGATTCTAAAGATTTGTGAATGAGTCCTAAGTTCCTGGGAATGACTGAGCCTCAGCAGTTGGGAAGAGGTAGCGTTGGGTAGAGAGGAGTCTGAAGGGTTGTGACCATATCACAAAGGGTTTGGGATCTAATTTGAGCTCCTGGGTTTACCCCTGGAGGAAATAGGAAGATTTTATGCATTTGACTTAACAGCAGCAGCTGTGCCTTTCAGAAAGATCCTGTTAGAGGCACTGTAGGGAGAGGATTACAACAGACACCATGTTTTGAATATGATACTTTAGAAATTCTAAGCAAGATCTTATGAGAACTGGTGGCTTCTGCTTCTTTCCTCTTAAAACACAGTTGCCTTGCTCTAAGAAGCCCCAGCCACATGGAGAACCAAATGACATCCAGATGTGCTCCAGCAGCTGCCAGCACCAGCTGTTCACCATGTGACAAGCCATCTTGGCCATTCCAAACCAGCTCCTGGCAGTCCTGGGGGAGATCGTGTTGAAAACCGCCCAGCTGAGCCCAGTCACCCTACAAAATCATGAGAAGCAACAAAATAATCATTGTAAACCACTAATCATCGCTAGGTGATTGTGCAGGGGTAGCTCTTGACATAGTGGGGGACAGGTGGAGGAAACATCGGCAGCTCAGCAGAACGGTCTACCTGGATTGGCATGGCTTCTGGCATCATCAGCTGCAAGGCAACTTAGAAGTAAAGTCCCGGATGAAATTATCCACGGCTCAGCACAAGACATGTTTGTTGAATCAAAGGAAATACTCCCCACAATGAAAACCACTGCAAGTCCCTGTTTTCTGGTCTAAGACAATCCTTCCTGGGCCTGGAATTTTAATGTTCCCTAGCTCTGGGTATACTTCTTTTATTCTCTCTTCTGGGTCAAGTGTGGCTTCTGCCTTGAATAATTTTTTATCCTTCCGCGTTCCAAGTTCTTTCTCTGAGTGTCACTTGTGGATCTGGATTCTGCAAACCCCAGACTGGTGCCCAATAACTGGGCGGTCCAGCAGCCCGCCCCCTCTCCCGGCCCCCCCCCACCCCATCCATCCCCTCTGTGCCTCAGCTTGCTCCTCTGTAAGTGAGGGAAGGTGAGAATACAGATCAGATTCAGTCATAAGGGGGAACGTTGTTCAGTCAAAGCTAAAGGAGTTTGGACCTAAACAGCGATTGCCGTTGTCTCCACCAGGACATCGTGCTCAGCCCGGACACCTGGTGAATTACCCCCACCGCGCTCCAGGGATCACCTGGCAAGCCCAGGCCACGGAAACCTCCAGCGTCGTGTGTTTGAGCCACTCCCACGGGAGCCAACGCTGTCATCTCCTGGGCCCGAGATGGTGAGCAAAGGGTTAATCAACATGCTGGCAAAATCACCCTCCACCCAGACCCCGGGTTTCAGCCCGGTGTGCCCAGGACACAGAGTGACCTGGCCAGCCCCAGCCCTTCTGGGGGCCCATCGCCCTCGTATCTAAGAGCGCCCTCATACTTAAGAGCGGGACGCATGGCCTGAGACAACCCAAAGGCTCCTTCCACCCGAGAGGCCCGCTCCCCCAGAGGTGGGGGGCCGGTCACATGTTAGC